TGTGTTTGCTCAGAGCTGTAAGATTGTCCTGGTTAAAATTTTTTGTTTGAGTGCCGACCTTGGAAGTACAATGCCAAACAAATACCTTAGAGAGGAGCTACTTGACTTACGAGTGGATATTGCTTTAGTAATTTGGATAGTATTTTCCTTTACATCAGCTGGCTAATTTGGGTATTTTCCCCTACAGAGGGGTGATTTCCAAGCAAAAAGTTTATGATTGTGAGGCCATCTGATATATTGAAAAGACTATGTGCTTTGGCTCCAAGCAGTTACATATATGAGTAGCTAAAACTCTCAAAATTTTGCTTTCCTAATTTGTAAAACCAGTGTGATACCTATCTACGTCATGGGATTATTCCATGAATCATATTAATATATGTAAAATACCAGACACATAGCACACCGTAATCAATAAGTGTTAGGTATTCTTTTTATATGTTAGCTCTTAATGGACCATTAATAATCACATAAACATTCTGCTTATGAGAGGAAAAATATTTGGGGTTAAATATATTAGGATTCGGATATGTTCTTCTCTGCGGAAATGAGATTATGTAATCTCATCGGAGACCATGCAATCATCTGTAGACCATGTTTCTGGTTCTGGTTTCCGATCTGTTGTAGGATACTGACAAATCCTTCACCTGCTTGGGCCTCAAAGTCCTTATTTATAATGTCCAAGATGAACTTCAAGGGCCCTTTCAGATTCAAAATGCTAAGCTTCTATACTCTTTGTATTTAGCCTACATTTCCCAACTTGGGGCTTTCTTTGATGGTTTCCTTCAGCTTTCAAAATCCTTCCCACCTTTAATTTTTTCTCTCCCCTCTGTGACCAGCAAGTATCCCATTTCTCATAGCAGGCATTCTTGAGAGGGTTGTCTATATTGGCTGTCTGTACTTCTTTATATTCTGACTTAAACTGTCTACATTTGACCTTCTGTCCACACGTTTCTCACAAGCCACCCTTCTCAAGGTTAAGTGTGATCTCCATCTTGCCAAATCTTTGGTCAATTTTCCATCTTCATATTACTCACACGATCTAGTTAACTGTTCTCTCCTACTGGGCACAATTATTTCTCTCATCTTCCATGCACCATACTTGCTTGATATTTTCTCTGGCTCACTGGACACTATCCCCTGCTGGCTTTTCTTCTTCTAAGTCTCGAGAGCGATGTGTCTAACAGAAATATCACAGGAGCCACATTTATGATTTTAAACTTCCTAGTATTTAATCTTCCCATTAAAAAAAAAAAGTAGAAGTAAATGGGTGAAATCAATTTTAAGAACATATTTTAACTAACCCAGTATATCCAAAACATTATTTCAACAATCAGTATGAATAATTAATGAGATACTTTACATTCTTCACAGTTTGGTGGGTTATTTAAAAAAAAAAATGTTTATTTACTTTGAGGGAGAGAGAAGCAAGCAGGGGAGAGGCGGAGAGAACGAGAGAGAGAATCCCAAGCGGGATCCCCACTGTCTGTGAAGGGGCTGATATAGTGCTTGAACGACGAAATCTCGGGTCGGGCTCTTAACCGATAGAGCCACCCAGGTGCCCCTGGTGGGTATTTTATACTTAATTTGGACTAGCATATTTCAAAAGTTCAAAAACCAAGTGTGGCTACCATATTGGACAGGGGAGCTCTGTGCGTTGGCGAGACCCAAGGCTCAGTCCTGGGGGCTCTTCTATTGTCTGTGTACAGTCTTTCTAGGTGATCCAGGTGAGCATATATTATCTGTCTTCTGATTCAGTTATTCCGTATTTACTGGGTACCTACTGTGTGCCAAGCTACTGTGTTCTTGATACTAGAGGACACAATAGCGAACAAAGTAGACATAAATCCCCACACTCATAAAAGCCTACTTCCTAGTAAGGGAGAGCAGGCAACAAACAAGATTGCTGAGTTAATTTTGTTGCACAAAAGAAGTGAAAATGCTGCAGCAGAGACAGAGGAGGGGCGCAGGAAGGCAGGAAAATTGGAGGAGCAAAGAAAGGGTCAGATGATGCAGGTTTTTTTGTGTCCCAGACAAAGGACTTCGGCTTTTACTATACTGACAAGGGGAACCGTTAGAAGGCTTTAAGCAAAGGAATCCACAATACGACTCAAACTGTAAAAAGATGGTTGTAGGGGCTGTTTTGAGAATATACGACGGAAGGTCAGGGAGAAACAAGGTGACCAGTAATCTAATGTTGCAGTAATCCAAGCCGAAGAAGACAGAGGCTTTGATCTGTTGCCGGGGAGGTGATGAGAAGGTGTCCCAGTCTGAAAGAAGAGGTTCAGGCCAGATATACGGATATGGGCATCGTCAACACGTACCTGCATTTTGCCAACAGGGAAGCAGCCACTGGCCACGCAGAGCTCTTTCCGTCCATGAATTTCCATTAATTAAAACAGAACAAAAATGCAGCGCCCGTCACGCCAGCTTAGCCTTATTTCGAGGGTTCGACATCTGTGTGTGGTGAGCGGCTACTGCTTCGGACCGCGCAGGAAGATCTGTTGGGCGACACTGATACATTTAGGGTTCTGACCTACTGTCTCTCAAATCGACTGTCTGCTAGATGCCCCCACAGCATAATTCGCCTGTGGTACCGATGTCAGATAAGCGTTGTGTACAAAACCCGGTGAGTAATTTTTGCCTGCAGTCTTCAGCAACCCGGCTTCCCGTTTGCCAGCCTGCTTCGGCTTCATTTCTGCTCTCCCGGTGAATGCAATCACCGTCCGTCCTGCTGCTGTCCCAACCTCGAGGTCATTCCTTAATCTTCCTGTCCCCGCCGACCTCTGTCACTTCCCGTTCAACAGGCTGACCGGCTCTCCCTCCAAGTCGTATCCTGACCATGACCACCTCTTGCCACTCCTACTTCTAGCATATCATCCTTTGCTGGACAATCCAAACGCCTAAATTAGTGCTTTTCAAGTTTCGCTGTATATGAGAATCCCTTGGGAGTTTAAAGCCGAAACAGAGTAAGAAAAAAAAAAAAAACCCAACAAAAACGTGTGGGCGCTACTCTACGCACCCAGGTGGGGTTTGGCTTTGTAAAAGCTTCCCGGGCGCAACCAGGCCTGAAGACGGCCTTCACCCTATCATCCTCCACCCCTTTCCATGGTCTACTCTTTCACATAGGAGCCAGGGTGACCTTCCTAAATAATACATCGGATCACGTCATTCCCTCTCTTGAAACTCCGGGCGGTGTCTCATTGCCCCGGGAAGAATTTGAAACTCCTGACCCTATGAGATCTGGCATTGCTTAGTTTCTCCGGCCTGCTTCTGCTTGGCTGACCCCCATCATTGTCACCGTCTCTGAGAGGTCCTGCGTCCACCTCGTGTTAACCAGCCCTTTGCGCCCCCTGAACCTGTCCCAATCACCCCCCCTTCCCCATGCCCAGGATCCTTTTCTTGATGGAACATATTGCCGGTTGCAGTGATCGTATTCCTTCCTTTCCTTGCCCGTCCATCCCCCCTAGCTTGAACAAAAGCTCCGTGAGAGCAAGGAACTTTGCGGTCTTTTATCCATTTCCTCCCGACAGGAACTGGCTGTCGACAAATCAATATTTTTGAACGCTCCCTTCATTTAATACATATTTTTAAAGATTTCATTTCAGAGTCTTCAGAGAAAAGATAATGACAGCTACGATGAGGATGATAAGGATGATGATGATGCAGGAATTGCTCTGATTTATAAAGAGCTTACTCTGTGCCAGGCTGTGTTTATTCCATCATGGCAACAGCCCTCTGAGATGGAGATCATGCACCCATTTTACAGATGAGAATATTGGGATTGCAACAAGCTAAGTAATTTGAGTAAGACCACCAAGGTGGTAAGTGTGAGAAGCCAAAAGGGAACCTGGGTCTGCCTGAGAACAAGGCCCCTACTCTTCAAACACACACACACACACACACACACACACACACACACACACACTTGCGGCCATTGAATAAATACTTATGAAATAAACAGAACACTTAGTGCTTATGTTGGACAGTTGTCAAACACTGATGCTTTGTTTATGACTAGGAAAAACAATAACCTTCGCCTCACATCCCACCGTTGCCTCTTTCTTGCCCCGTGGGGGACTCCAGGGCTGTCCCTCATTCTCGTCGCCAGTTATTCCTGCAATAAGCAGTCGTAGCCTAAAGAATTCCATCTCCTAGCAGCAACCAGGGTTACTTGCAGCCTCAATGATCTTCTTTTGAGCGAGGGAAAAAATCCCCTAACTTTGTAACACAGCCCAGCGATGCATGAGAAGCCTTTGTCAAACCCTGGGCAGGGGGAAAAGGAAAATAAAAATACCGTTCTCCTCTGGAATGTCTCCTAGGACTAGTGAAAAATGCTAATTCTGACAACAGCACCATCACTTAAAAATCAAAGCACCTTTGAATTATATTAGAAATGAGAAGAAAATGGGAAGTGGTGAAAGAAAATAATTATGTCCTCGGAATCTGGCAATATCTTAGCCCCTCCAGCTCTGCTCTCCTGCTGTATGCCGCCGCAGATACCCTCCCAGGAGGGATTTTTTCCCCCCCTGAGTCCGGAGACCTGCCTTGTGTTCAGGTTGCACGAAGAGGGAGAGGGACGCCTGGCTTTTCTTTATTCCCCCCAGAACAGGCTGATGGGAAGTTGGAGCCTTCCTTCCTGTCTTGAAACAGCTCCCACGGTGCGGTGTTTCTATTTCTAATTACTCCGAGATGAACGTGCGGCCGTGCGCTTTGCAAGAGCAGCCTCGCCTCGACGGGCCGCGTCGGCGGCTCGGCGAGCTCCAGGGCCGAGCGGGCCCGAAGATGTGAATTTCTGCTTCCGGGAGCACGCAGCTCTGCGCCCCCGGCCCGGCTCGCGTGGCCCCCCGCGCGACGTGGGCGCTTTGGAGCGCGCTCCGGGCAACGGGAGCGGAGCCCGCGGCGCGCTGCCTGTCCCCGGGCACGGCCGGCTCCCACGTCCCCGGCCCCATTCAGGCCGCCGAGGCCGCGCCGCCTCGCTCGGCCCCCAGATTACGGCCCCGGCGGCGCCCCCAGCCGGGGAGCGGGGGGCGGGGGCTGCGCGCCCAGCCTGCGGCCCAGATGGCGGGCCAGCCCCGCGCGGGGACACTTTCTCAGGCTTTCAAAAAGAGCACTTTCTTTCCTGCCTAATATTTAGCTCCTTCAAATGCAAATGGAGAGGTTTCGCTCCAAGGTTAGCATAACAATTATGGGAAAGCTTTAAATCTGATGCGTTTGTTTACACGATGAAAGGCGGGCAGGATCCGCGAGCCGGAGGCCCCGGCTTCTCAGCAACTATTTTCCAACTAGTGAGCTGCAAGTCAATTTGAGATCACAAAGAAAACCAATTTATGTGACGGCGTGGGCTAATTTTGGAGGGAGTTCTCCATTGTTGTCGATGTGCGGGTTTTTTTTTTTTTTTCTTCTTGTTTTTAAATGACCGCTGCTGAAATAGTGATTTCCCCCCCTCCCCGCTTTTTAACGGTGAAGTCCGGGTGAGGTAATTGGTGTTGGTGACAGGCAGGAAGGTCTTCATTACCCGGGACGGTGGGAACGGGGGTGGGGTGGGCACAGGTAGAGGATTTTCCAGGCACTTGGTGGGGTGTTGGCCCAGCGTGCAGAAAAGTCTCTTTTAGTTTGCTAGAGTTTAGAACATTTTCTTAAAAAAAAAAAAAAAAAATATATATATATATATATATATATATATATATATATATATATAATCATTTTTCTGCGATTCAGTCTTAGACATTTTCTTTTATTATTTTATTTTATTCTAATTTTTCGTATTTCGACAAGGTGTTGTTAAGTACCACTGATGGGTATCAGACTAAGACTTAAGGGGAATGACATTTTCTCACTATAAGTCCATTCATTTCCAGATGCTGACAGTGAGGCCTCGGCCCGCCCACTGGAGGTGACCCAGATCTGCCTGGAGAAAGGCCTGGTGACCAGCAAGAAAGAAATCTCAGGCCTAGTTTCCTTTTTTAAAACTGTCTCTCTCTCTTTTTTTTTTTTTTACTCATAGATGTTCCAGGAGACTTTTCTAGACCTTCCTCCTGGGGCCATCCTCCACCTGTCACTTCGGAAGATGCGGTGAGGTCTCAGCCTCCTAGGTCTTCCTCACCTGAGACCCAAGAGAGACTGGAGACCCTTGGGAGCTCATTAAATCTTTCAGCCGCATTGACAATATATTGGCAAATGCTTCGCGACCCACTAGGATCTACAGTGCCTAGGTATTTAACAACATTATACCATTTGGGGAGTATTTATTGACCAACATACATATGCCGTTATCAATGTTGAGATGAAGCTACAAAACCTCCCCCTTCCCCCTGCAGTGTTTCTACAGATGAGCGGTAATGCGTGTCCTAACAGTGGGACCACAGCAAGCATATGTGTGCTATTCCTAACAGGTACAAAGCTGTGGTTTGCAACTCGAGTGAGGCCTGGAGTTGCCCGAGGGCCTTGTTAAAACACAGATGGCCGCACGTCCCCTCCAGAGCGTCTGCACAAGCAGGTCTGAGGTGCAGCCTGGGAATTTCCATCCTCACAAGTTACTTGGGGACGCTGATGCCTTCTTTCCGAGACCAGTCTCGGAGAAGCCCAGCCTAAAAGATTCATAGAAGTGTATAATTGTGAGTGAACCCAACATGATAAAAGAGTTGCCTTTTTACAAGAATAGCTTAGAGGAAAACAATAGCGACTGATGAACCATCCACGCTAGAAATTAAGTGAGATTAAGGAACTATTCTTAAACTTAAATATTTCTCAAATATAGGTGTTTAAAGATTGTTGGCTTGACCTACTTGGGAACTCAAAATGAGTCAGATCTTCCTGAGTAATAGATAAGCGTGTTTTTGTGAACACCATTCAGGTCTGCTAGGCAGGTGAATGGGGTTCCTGAGGGATGGTGGTATATATTTGTTTTCTCATATTGAGACGCTCGAGGTCCGCTGCACTGAACTTGCCCCTTGACCGTCTTAGCACTCATGCCTCTTTTCTTAATTATCCTACGTCTTGGTTTCTTCCTGAATGTTCTCTTTCCCTGAAATCCTCCTCAGGCTCCTTCTCCTTTGTTAAGACAGCTCTTCAAACCCAACTCCTGAATAAACCTTCAAGACAGAGAGAGATTTTCATGAAAACTTAACCATTAAAAAAAAAAAAAAAAAACCTCTTATAACTCCCTTATTTATCTAACCATTTGATATAATTGAACATACTTACTGGCTTATGTTTTAGTGTCTGTATTTGATCTTGGGGTCTTTAATATGTACATTTTCTCTCTCTGTGTGTCTCTTTAAGACACAGAGTGTGAACAAGGGAGGGGGCAGAGAATCTTTTTTTCTAAGTTTATTTATTTATTTTGAGAGAGAGAGCCCTAGCAGGGGAGGGGTCAGAGAGGAGCAGAGAGAGAGGGAGAGAGAATCCCAAGCAGGCTTCGAGCTGTCAGTGCAGAGTCTGACATGGGGCTCGAACTCATAAACCGTGAGATCATGACCTGAGCTGAGATCAAGAGTTGGACACTTAACCATCTGAGCCACCCAGGCTCCTTAGAGAGAGAGGGAGAGAGAGAGAGAGAATCTAAAGCAGGCTTGACCCGTAGTGCAGAGCCTGACATGGGGCTTGATCCCATGACCCTGGGTCATGATCTGAGCCGAAATCAAGAGTTCCCAGGTGCCCCTTCTATTTGACTTTAAATTGCATATCCTATGAGGGAGAGACATTTTATTTATTTATTTATTTATTTATTTAGTGTGTTATTTACTTATTTATTTAAATTCAGGGTAGTTAACAAGTTAATTAACATTGGTTCAGGAGTAGAATGCAGTTACACTTACATATAACATCCAGCGCTCATCCCAGCAAGTGCCCTCCTTCATACCCATCACCCGTCTAACCGCCCCCCCCACCCCCGTCCCCTCCAGCAACCCTCAGTTGTTCTCTGTATGTAAGAGTCTCTTATGGTTTGCCTCAATCTCTGTTCTTATCTTATTTTTCTTTTCTTCCCCTATGTTCATCTGGTTTGTTTCCTGAATTCCACATATGAGTGAAATCATATGATGTTTTAATTCTGAGGTTTCATAGTCACTGGTACAGAGCCACACATAAAGAGACACATAACAACAAGTTATTTTGATGATGACGTCTCAATTAGGAACTTGACATTAAGTTCGGTTCTGTTTACCTGCTAGGAAAACACGGTTGAAGATAGATCTTCTGTATAAAGTCATACTGTGTTAGCCACTTGACCATGGACACGTGCCATTCAAGTTGCAAGACAAACAGTAGCCTGAAATTACAGGAGGAATTTTTCTCAAATCATATTTTTATATGCATTGAGGAAATATAAAGCTCAGGAAATCATATGTAAATTGTTCCGTGAAATAAATGAACCGCTAAAATTGATCTTGGTTGACCAGGTATCATGACAGGCCGGAGAACGTTGTTCTGGGGACCAGGTGCTTCCCCCGTGACTAGTTTTGTGACATTATATGTTACGGGTGGAGGGTGATGCTGTTGAATGTACTTTGTTGAATAAGTCATGCTACCCGTCTTTCAATGACAAGCACGAGGGGTGGGTGATCCTTGGGGTTCTTTCTGGATTACGTGTATAGCATCTGCTTGGATTTCCTTCAACCACATAATGCAAGAGGGTCAGCTCTGGTTTAAACAGGTGCCTCTATTATGATAATATTGTCAACACCTTTTAAAATTATTGCCATCTCCTCTACATATGTTGTAGTCTCCTTGGATTTGCGGAAAATGCTATGTTGATTGTTTTTCATTGTAAAAGAGCCAATTTCTTTGAGCAACTGCTATTTCTACCTGAGCACTCAAGTCATTGAGGAGACATTTAATTTAGGGACGGAGCAGAATTTCTTTACCCTTGCTGTTATCCTGTGTTACAGCTGACTGCTTTAGTGCCAATAAAATGCTAAGGGCTCTGGTTTTTACTGGGCGAAGCACTGAGTGGCAAAGTCATTCCTATTAAATATTAACATCATTTACTAAGAATATAATTAGAAATAAAATAAATTGGCACATAAAATTTGTATCTTAATCATCCTCTGCTCTTGGTTCAGGTGTTGAAAAATTGTTTTCTTCGTCCTAAATATAGAGTTAGGGTTTTAAAAGGATTAAGCTGTCATCCCAGGGAGGCAGTGGACATTTCCACAGGTATCTTAAGAGACTTGAATTTTTTGGAAGTCAAGTGCAGCTCGTGACAAACGTGTGTGTGTGTGTGTGTGTGTGTGTGTGTGTGTCTTTGTTGTGTGGCGGGGAGATGGAGGTGAGAAGCCGATGAGAGAAAGTGGAAAATGAGGAAATAAATGGGGCTCTAGAGTATTTTCTAGTTTTGAAATAAAACTGTGGTTTGAGTCCGGTGGGTCAGTTATATATAAATATAGCGTAGAGGGCAGATATCCAGAAATAACAGATTTTAATCTCCAGAGGGAGAGGGAGAATTAACCAGAGAAGAAGCCTTTGAACCAGGGTACTCCTTTAGCTAAGAATGGTGAGCCTTGAGTGCACTTATTCCATTGTATTTCTGTTTTATCTACCAATTCTCCCGATGGTAGACATCTTCGTTGTTTTCATTGATTTTTGCTGTTATAAATAATGCTACAATGATCATCACTGTGCTTATTTCCTGGTGCAAAGACGTCATATTATCTCTAGGGCATCTTCCTTTTATGATGTATTATTAATTTCTATTCTGCTTGATCTATAATTTTTGTTAGCAAATTAGTAATCCGTAAACTGATACTGTGTATTTTTCTTTCCCACGTAATTTTCTACCCTTCTACTTTTTTTTTCTTTTTGAGGGAGAGAGAGGGCGCGGTGGGAGGGACGGGCAGAGGGAGAGAGAGACAGAGAATCCTCAGCAGGCTGCACACCCAGCACAGAGTCCGACGCAGGGTTCCATCCTTCCACCCTTAGATCATGACCTGAGTTGGAATCAAACATCAGGTGCTTAACAGACTGGGCCACCCCAGTGCCCTATGTTTAAAATCAGTTATTAGGAACATTCTCATACAAATCCTATGATGACTGTATGCATTACAAGAATCATTCTCACTCTGTGACTGGGATTTTCATCCTTTTTTAGGCATCTTTTGATAAACAAGTTCTTAGCTATAAATGACTTACCAATCATTTTCTTTATGGTTTCATTTTTTTGTGTCTTGCTTCAGAAATCCTTTTTCTCAAAAAGACATTGTCACATTCTTTTTATAAAAGTAGTAAGCCCTCGATCAGTCTGAAATTGTTTTTTTTACGAGGTGTGAAGGAGAGATCAGGTTCCATTGTTTGCCCTATGGGAACAACTGGCTACCCCAGCGTGATTTATGAAATAGCTCCCGCTTTTCTGTTGGTGTCTGATGTCACTTCTGTCGTATACTCAGTGTGCACGTTCATCTGGGTCTGTTTCGTGGCTCTCAGTTGTGTAGTGTTAGTTTATTTGACGATACGTGCCCTAATTCTGCGCCGTTTTAATTAAAAACTGGCTTCTTAGTGTTTCGGCAGAGGATAAATTCTCACCTGACTCTTCTTCCAGAGTGTCTTGACGGTTTTTGGTCTTTTGCTCTTTCATGCACACTTCAGAATTAGTGTGTTAATTCCTGTATAAGGCCTCTTCTGAATTTTGGTTGAAATTGCCGTGACTGTATGGCCCAAACTGGGGAGAAGGGACATTCTCGCCATGTTACCATATTGAATGATGTGGTCTGTAAATATGATAAATCTCTCCATTTACTTACATCTGCCTTAATGTCTTTGAACAAAAGTTGGTAAGTTTTTCCGAAAGGTCTCATGTGACTTTCGTTCTGGATACTTTCGATTCGGTGCTACTAAAAATGGCATATTTGAAATAATGAAAGGCTCTACGTGTCGCTGTTGTACAGAAAGGTAGTTGGCTTTTATGTAACAACCACATCTAGCAACTCTGAACTGTCTCACTAAAGTTGGTAATTTATTTGTAGATTCATTTGATTACTTGTAAACCATATAAAAATCATCACACAAGACAAAAATAGTTTTATTTTTTCCTTTCTTTATGGCTTTAACATTTCCTTTTTCTCTTTTTCTTCTGCTTTTCTTCTTCCCTTCCTCTGTGCACCTCTCCCTTGCTGCCTCCCTTCCAAATCTTTCCTTCTCCTGCTGTATACCTTCCTGACCCCCACTACCCTGTCCAACCATTTTTATTGCACTAGATAGGACCTTAAGGATAGCATTA